TCTCTGGGATTGTGAAGCTTTTTAGTTATTATTTCTTTGAATATGCTTTATATTGTTTTGACTTTCTCAGGTCCCTCTTGAACCTCAGTAAGTTGGATATTTGTTCTTCACATGTAGTTCCATAGTTCCTGTAAGTTTTCTTTAGTCCTCTTGATGTTTTGTTTTGTTTTTCTCCTGTACATTTTCAAATATCCTATGTTTGAGCTCGCTGATCCATTCTTCTGTTAGGTCTGCTCTGCTGTTGTTCCCTTCCATTGCATTTTAAATTTCATATAGAATAATTTTAGGTAGAAGAATTTGTTGGTTTAAATAAATTGTTTCTATTTCTGTGTCAGGTCTCTCTGTTAAAGTATTTAGCTGTTTGTGTTCTCTTGAAGTTCATTCAGTTTCCTTACAACAGCTGTTTTAAATTCTTCATCTAAGCATTTAAAATGTCAATTCCCTGTGTGATTGGATTTTGGCATTTTGTTGTGTTAGGTGAATCTTGAGAGTTCTTAACATCTTTTGGCATATGATATCATGTACATAACAGTAGTATTTTTCCATTTTTGAATCTGACTTTGTGGCTGTACTTTGAGAAATTTAAAATAGATGGCTTATTTTCTCTGAGCTTGTGGACACTTCTGCTAATTCAGAACTAGATGGCATCCAAAGTCGGCAAGGTTTGTTACAGGTCTGGTGTTGGTGTGTGTCACTGTTTCAGTCCTAAAATAAATCTCAGTCTCAGGTTTGTCTCACAGTTGGTGTGTCATATGGAATTAATTGTGAAATCATGTATAAAAGGCTACAAGTTGGGCTGGGTTATGTCCAGATTCCTAGTCCTATGGCCACCAATGCCACAGTGCTTATAATTCCTGGAGCATCTAACCTGGGAGGTAGGACCAAAGCCCACTCTATTGTGGTCTGTCTGTCTGCTGTTAAAGTGGACTCACAACTCAAGGCCTCTTCTACCAGTCACTAGTGATGCTGGGTGGTACATGAAACTGATCAGCTAGGATCATGGAACTTCATTTGGCACTGAATCAGAGACTCCATCTGCAGATAGCGGCCTTGGGACAAGGATTGTTAGGATCTGCCCAGTGTTGGGTTTTGCCAGCCTAGTGTGCTGAGTCCTAGAAACAGTTTTGTGGTTCCTTGTTGTCTGCCCATGGCGGGAAGAAGGGTGATAGAGGCAACTCATTAGCTTCCCAGTCAGGTACAAGGTAAGTTACACCTGAGTCTCACTGTTAACTACACCCTGTGTTATCTCAGGAGCAGATGCCAGGCCCACATGGTGATGGTATATGCTGAAACAAAAATATCCCACAAGGGTTCAGGTCTCTGCCTAACACAAGGGTAATTATAGAGGCTCCATCTACAAGCACTGGCCTAGGGATGGGGGCCTTCACAATCTGCTCAGTTTTGGGCTCTATCAACCTGACACTGAGAAGTAAGAAATAGTCCTGTGATTCCCTGCTGTCTGACCAAGGTTGTTGGAGAGGTGAAAAAGGTTAATCCTTGACATTCTTAGACTGTCACTAAGCTGAGTCACTCCTGAGTTCCATCTTAATATCAGACAAAATAGATTTTAACACAAACACTGTTAAAAGGGACAAAGAAGGGAACTACCCATCCATGGATTCACTCCTCAAATGGCCACAACAACTAAGGCTAGGCCAGGCCAAAGCCAGGACTCCATCTCTCCTATGTGGTTGGGTGGCAGGAACCCAAGTAGTGGGTCTTCATCCACTGCCTCCAAGGTGAGTTAGCAAGAAGCTGAATCAGAAGAATGGAATAGCTGGGACTTGAACCAGGCACTGTGATAGGAGATGTAGGTGTCTCTATTAGCAGTTCAGTTCACTATGCTACAGCATTCACCTCTGTTCATTTTCTTTTAACCTATCTCTGTCATTATGGTTAAAATGGGTTTCTAGTACACAGCACATGATTGGGTATTGCTAATTTAACCTAGTTTATGATTTTTATCTTTTTGTTATGTTTAGACCATTTATATTTAATATAGTGTAGTCATTAAAGTATTTGTCAAATGTTTTCTATATGTTTATTTTTTTTCTTTTTGCTGCATGCTTTTTTTTTTTTAAACTTTTATTTAACGAATATAGATTTCCAAAGTACAGCTTATGGATTACATTGGCTCCCCCCCCCGACCCGCCCCGCCAATGGCTGCATGCTTTTGATTCTTTCCTTGGCTGTGTCACATCTACTGACTATTCCTTTAGATGGAATTTTCTAAAAAAATTATTTATTCAAAAGTCAGACTTACACAGAGACAGAGGGAGAGGCAGAGAGGGGGGGGGGGAGGACTTCTATCTGCTGGTTCACTCCCCAAATGGCTGCAATGGCTGGAGCTATGCTGATCTTAAACCAGGAGCCAGGAGCATCCTCCAGGTCTTCCACATCGGTGCAGGGCCCCAAGGACTTGGGCCATCTTCTACTACTTTCCCAGGCCATAGCAGAGAGCTGGATTGGAAGTGGAGCGGCTGGGGCTCGAACCGGTACCCATATGGGATGCTGGCACTGCAGGTGGTGGCTTTACCTGCTATGCCACAGTGCTGGCCCCCTTTAGATAGAAACCATGATATCAAAGTAAAAATTTTATTTCTGGAATTTCCATTTAACTTTTAGTTTCTCTCTCTCTCGACATTCTTCATTTGTTCATGCATGTTGCCTGCCTTTTTTGCTGGATTGTTCGTCTAACTTAACAATCATAGTCTGACAATTTTAGCATCTCTAAGTCTGGTTTTTTTTGATTACTTTGCTACTTGATGATTTTTGTTACCTTTTGTATTATTTTTGATTGAATATCAGACATCTTATATATAAAAGGAGAGACTGAGGCAAATAATATTTATACTTGGAAATATGTGTTACTATTCTGGTAGAAAGATATGTCCCTACATCCTTCTATGGATTTATCTCCTTAGATTTCAGGCTGGTCGAATGTTCTGTGACCCAAGATATTTGATGGATTCAAGAAAGGTTGTGATTTTTCCCCCCATATTCTTAGTATGGTAGTGACATTATTTTTAGCTTTTATACCATTGAAAGTAGTCTAACCTCCAAGATTTCTTCAATTTTGGGCACAATAAAATTATTCCTATAATTTGGACTTATTTCCACTTTTCAACACATTGCCATTAATTTTTTTACTTGTGTGATTCCTTATGTTCCATCTGTGAAGGAAATCTTCCAATGTTGTAAAAGTTAATTGACTGTAAACACACATGCTTTTATCTTAATAATCTGAGTTTTTCTATGTAGGATTATTTGGGGATACTTTGAGAGGATTCATTTTAGAAAATATTCATATAGATATGAATCCCAAAAGGGCAGTTTTCTACTCAGGCAATAAGATAATTATTTGCATGTATTAAAGTTGTATCTTAAGTTGATACATTGAGACGTGTTTTATTGTATCAACACCACTTGTGCCTGTCAAACTCATGTTCTTGCTCCTGTTGCCCATCCTTAATGCTAAAATAATCTGTTTTACATTCAGTGCATGTGTTAACCTGTGTATACACTTCCAAGACAACCAGTGGTGCTGTGTACTCCACTGTTGTATCCAGTATTTTGACCAGGTTTTGATGGGGTCTCTAACTTCTTCCAAAGGTTAATAACTTCTGCTATAAATTCTGTGAAATATATTTTAAAAACATACAATATCATCTGCTGTCAAGGAGCTGGAAACTTAGTTTGTTTTTAACCTGTGTGTAATGAATGGAGGGAAGGGAGAGTAGAATGGTGTGGTAGTGAAAAGTATAGTCTCCACAAACTTGGGTTTGAATCTTGCTTTACCTCTTTTTGTCTTTGTGATTTTGGTGGGCAACAGTATCTTATATGTGGCTATTAGGTGTTGCTATTAGACTTAAATTATAAAATGCCCATAAAGTACTTGGCAGGTGCTTTGAGGGATGAAAATATTGATAAAAATAATAGCTATTTATGTGACCAGAAGTGATAACTAAATTTCCTTTGCATTTTTTATTTCTATTATGGCAAAATAAGCTAACATGAAGCTTGCTGTTAAACTTTTTAACAGTTAAACTTATTTATTTGAATGAGAGAGAGAGAGAGAGAGATGTTCCATCCACTGGATCACTCCTCAAATAGTCACAATGGCTGGGACTTGGGCAGGAGTGACCACTTGTGGAACTTTGTCCAGTTCTTCCCGACATGGGCAGCAGGGATCCTAGTACTTGGGCCATCTTCCTATACTTTCCCAGGTGCATCAGTAGGGAGCTGAATCAGAAGTAGAACAGCCAGGAATCAACCAGTGCCCATGTGGGATGCTGGATTAGAAGCAGTAGCTCAACCGTGTCTCAACCACAACGCTGGCCTCCATTTTAACCATTTTAAGTGTACTGTCCAATGATATGGAGTAGATTCAATTCACAATGTTGTAAAACCCTCGTCACTCTTCATTCCCAGAAGTTTTTCATTATTTCAAACAGAAACAGTAATTCTTCATTCTCCTCTGCCTCCATGTCCCTGGTAACTTCTAATTTACTTTGTTTCCATGCATTTCCCTATTTTAAGTACCTCATATAAGCAGAGTCATAATAATTATTCCTTTGTATTTGGTTTATGTCACTTAGAATAACTTTTTAAAAAAATGTATTTGTTAAGCATGAGGCCACTTATCTTTCCTATTTTATTTAGTTATTGTTTAAATTTAAAGGAAATAGTTAAAACACAACAGGTGTATATAAATTTAAGCTGGTACATACAAAAACTTGTAAATATTACCTGAAAGCAATGAACTCATTTGCTGTCCGTATTTGATTGTAGATGGATTTGATTGTTCATAATAAATTATTCCTATACTACATATAAATGCTAGGTATGTTTTAAAATAAAAAATTAGGGAACACCTTTTTTAAGGCAGAAATATGTTTTGTGCAACCACTTGTGGAAAGTTTGCCCAATTTTACATTCCGATTCAGTATTTTATAGAATTTTCTTGACTTGAAGAACTTTGCTTTTCTTTCCCTTGTTAGGAATCTAATTCTCAGGTGGATTTAAACATTCATAAAACCGATGATGATACTAATGAAATAATTCAAATAGATGGGACCGGTGATGCATCTTCCAATGAAGAACTAGGAGGTTCAAGAGATGTAGATGAGAGTGAATTTCTAGGAATTATCGATGCAGGAGATCTGAAGGTACTTGAAGAAGAAGCTGACAGCATATCAAATGAAGGTTCAACTGCAAACAGTAGTGATAATGAAGACTCCCAAATAGGCACTGTGGAAGAGGTAAGGATCTTGACCAGAGACTTATTTCATTTCATTTATAATGACTGCAATTTAGTATGTTTTAGAACCAAGAGGAATAGTCTTAAGATTAATCCCACATTAGTCTTTTTTTTAAAAAAAGATTTATTTATTTGAAAATCAGTGTTAGAAAGAGAGAAGGAGAGGAAGAGAGAGAGAGAGGGGCAGAGATGGAGATCTTTCCACTGGTTCACTTCCCAGATGGCCACAAAAATGGCTGGGGCTGGGCCAATCTGAAGCCAGGAGCCATGAGCTTCTTTCTGGTCTCCCACATAAGTTTAGGGACCCAGTGACTTATGTTATCCTCTGTTGCTTTCTGCGGGCACAATAGCAGGGAGCTGGATCAGAAGTGGAGCAGCCGGGACTTGAAACTGTGCCTATATGGGATGCCGGGGTGCCAGGCAGTGGCTGAACCCGCTATGCCACAACACCAGCTCCAGTCTTTAGTTTTTAAATGAGATTTACTGATGGACATTTGGCACAGCAGTTGTCACTTGGGATGCCTGCATCCCATTTTGGAGTATCTGATTAAAGTTTTGGCTCTGCTTCCAATTCAGCTTCCTGCTGATGTGTTTCCTGGGAGGCAGTACGTGATGGCTCAAGTAGTTGAGTCTCCACCTCCTATGTAGGAGACCCATATTAGGTTCCTGGCTCATGGCTTTGGCCTGGCTCAGCCCCAGCTGTTGTGGGTTTTTGGGGAGTGAACCAGTAGTTGGGAGATTGATCTGTCTCTCTCCTTCTCTGTGTTACTGTAATTAAATATATCTTGAAAAAAAAAAAGAAAAAATTACCAACAAATATAGAAGCTGATTCCTAGATACTTAATACTAGTTTAAATTACAGTTCAAGAATAAAAATTTGAATCTAAACATACAAATAAGTCTTATTTTTTAAATCCCTATTGGCTTTAGTGTCTTTACTTTTTCTATATTTGTTTTTATTTGAAAGAGAGAAACAGATATTCCATCTGCTAGTTCATGCCCAAAATGCCCACAAAAGCTGAGGCTGGGCCAGGCCAAAGATAGGAGCCTGGAATTCCTTCTGGTTTTCCCACACAGGTGGCAGTGACTTCCCAGGAACAATGATAGGAAGCTGGGTGACTGGGACTGGAACTAGCATTCCAGTGTAGGATGCGGTGTCCCAAGCAGTGCCACAGTCCCTCCCCTATTTGTTGGTCTTCATTGGAGACAGTGTGAGGTTGAGGGACTGCAAGTGGAGGTTAAAGATGGCGATTTAGAACAAGCATATAATATATGCCCAAATTCTAGTAAAAGCAGTGAAATCTGGGTGGAATTAATAATTAAGCATGCAAGTGGTATTTGTTACCACTTTGAGCTTACATATGTGACAGGTATCTTAGTAAATTTTACCTGCCTTGCTATATTTAACAGTCCCATGTCCTAAGCATCTTACTGCTATCCTCATTTCATGGATGAGAATTCTGAGATATGGGGAGTTTTAGTAACTTGCCCAAGGTCAGTAATTACTAAATTGCCAAGCTGGGATGCAAACCCAGGGTATTCAACTTTTAAGAACAATACTAATTTGCCTCTTCTACTTCCTTTATTTCTATACATCTCTATCTTTAAAAAATTGGAAGCATCACAAAATTCCTTAATGTGATCATCTTTCATCTTTAGGACCCTTTAAATTCCGGAGATGATGTTAGTGAGCAGGATGTGCCAGACCTGTTTGACACGGATAATGTAATTGTCTGTCAGTATGATAAGGTACTGTATTCACCCACTGGACCTTGGCTTATTAATTACCTTTAGTAGAAAGATATGGAAAGTGATGGCAAATACAATGGTGAGTAACATATCCCCTGAAACAGCTATTTAATTCTGCAAGTTTTGAGGGTGTATTTTGAGTTTAACACTGTGCTGTGTGATCTAGTTGATACCAAAGAAGTAATAGTCCTAGTTATAAGGAGGTGACATTACTGAAACATTCTATAATGAAATAATAGAATGATGAATAATGAGATGGCAGGTAAATCAGCTGCTACAATATGTGGCATGCAAATCAAATGATGAGTGGCACATACATCAAATGATTATATACGTGGCACAGACAGTAGTCCTGAAGAGGGCTAGGAAACATAAAAAATCATTTGTAGTTGGAGTTCCCCATAAATTCTTTATTGGCGATGAGGAGTTTTGAAATGGGGCTTGAATGATTTGTAGGATATAGGTAACTGTGCAGAGTAGGCAGTCAGCAGAGTAGCCTGATAAAAGTTAGAGAACAAGGAAATTAGAGGGATGGTGAAGAGATAGTTCTGTCTTGAATGGATGTACTAGGAAATGAAGCTGAGTTGGGAAGTAGAGGAGGGAGCAGACGGGAGTATTTTGAATGCCGGTGGGAGAAATACAAACTTGGTCTGAAGGACAACAGCCTTCTGAGATGGTTACAGCCTTCTGAGAAAATTACAGTTGAGTTTAAAAACTGTGTTGGCAGGGCTGGCATTGTGGTGAAAGGGTTAAGCCTCTGCCTTCAATGCCAGCATCCTATATGAATTCTGGTTCAAGAACCAGCTGTTCCACTTCTGACCCAGCTCTTTACAAATGTGCATGGGAAAGCAATGAAAGATGGCCCAAGGACTTGGGCCTCTGCACCTATGTGGGGATCTGGATGCAGTTCCTGGCTCCTGGCTTTGGCCTGGTTCAGCCCAGGCTCTTATGGCCATCTCGGCAATGAACCAGTGGCTGCAAAATCTCTCTCTCTACTCTGCCTAAAAATAAGTGAAACAAAATTTTTTTAAACTTTTTATTTATTTATTTTAATTTTTAAATTTTTATTTATTTTTTGACAGGCAGAGTAGACAGTGAGAGAGAGAGAGAGAAAGGTCTTCCTTTTGCCATTGGTTCACCCTCCAATGGCTGCCGCAGTTGGCGCGCTGCGGCCGGCGCACCGCGCTGATCCGATGGCAGGAGCCAGGTACTTATCCTCGTCTCCCATGGGGTGCAGGGCCCAAGTACTTGGGCCATCCTCCACTGCCTTCCCTGGCCACAGCAGAGAGCTGGCCTGGAAGAGGGGCAACCGGGACTAGAACCCGGTGTGCCAGCGCCACAAGGCGGAGGATTAGCCTAGTGAGCCGTGGCGCCGGCCACTAAACTTTTATTAAATGAACATAAATTTACAACATACAGCTTATGGATTACAATGGCTTTTTTTTTTTTTTGATAGGCAGAGTGGACAGTAAGAGAGAGAGAGAGAAAGGTCTTCCTTTGCCGTTGGTTCACCCTCCAATGGCCGCCACGGCCAGTGCGCTGCGGCCAGCACATGGCGCTGATCTGAAGCCAGGAGCTAGGTGCTTCTCCTGGTCTCCCATGTGGGTGCAGGGCCCAAGGACTTGGGCCATCCTCCACTGCACTCCTGGGCCATAGCAGAGAGCTGGCCTGGAAGAGGGGCGACTGGGACTAGAACCCGGTGTGCCGGCGCTGCAGATGGAGGATTAGCCTAGTGAGCCGTGGCGCTGGCCTACAATGGCTTTTTCCGCCCCATAATTCCCTCCCACCAGCAACCCTCCCCTCTCCCGCTCCCTCTCCTTTTCCATTCACATCAAGATTCATTTTCAATTATTTTTTATATACAGAAGATCAATTTAGCATATATTAAGTAAAGCTTTCAACAGTTTGCACCCACACAGAAACACAAAATGTAAAATACTGTTTGAATACTAGCTATAGCATTAAATCACGATGTACAACACATTAAGGAAAGAGATCCTACATGAGGAGTAAGTGCACAGTGGCTCCTGTTGTTGACTTAACAAATTGACACTTGTTTATGGCGTCAGTAATCACCTGAGGCTCTTGTCATGAGTTGCCAAGGCTATGGAAGCCTTTTGAGTTCGCCGACTCTGAACATATTTAGACAAGGTCATAGTCTAAGTGTTCTGGAGTTTCTTAATTTGTTATTTTTTAGCTTCATTTCATTGTGGTCATAAAAGATACATGGTATGATTTTAATGTTTTTAAATTTGTTAAGATTTGCTTTATGGTCGAGCATATGATCTACCCTAAAGAAAGTTCCATGCACTGATGAAAGGAATGTGTATTCTTTAACTGTGGGAAGAAATATTCTGTATGTATCAGTTAAGTCCATTTGATCTATAGTGTAGATTAGTTCTATTTTTTGTTGTTGATATTTTGTCTAGTTGATCTATCCATTGAGGAAAGTGGGGTGTTGAAGTCCCCCATTACTATTGTATTTCAGTCTATGTCTCCCTTTAGATCTATTAACATTGCTTTTAAATAGCCAGGTGCCCTGATATTGGATGCATATACATCTACATGTCACATTTCTGTTGAATTGATTCTATAATCATTCCATAATACCCTTCCTTATGTATTTTTTTTTTAATTTTATTCATTTATTTGAGAGGTGGTAGAGTTACAGACAGTGAGAGGGAGAGACAGAGAGAAAGGTCTTCCTTCCATTGGTTCACTCCCCAGCTGGCCGTGACGGTTGTAGCTGTGCCGATGAAAGCAGGAGCCAGGTGCTTCTTCCCATTCTCCCATGCGGGTGCAGAGGCCCAAGCACTTCGGCCATCTTGCACTGCTTTCCCAGGCCACAGCAGAGAGTTGGATTGGAAGAGGAGCAGCGTGACTAGAACCAGCACCCATAAGGGATGCTGGTGCCGCAGGCAGAAGATTAACTCACTGTGAAATGGGGCCAGCCCCTCCTTGTCTCTTATAGCAGTGTGTGTGTGTGTGTGTGTGTGTGTGTGTGAAAGTCTAATTTTGTCAAATAGCAGGATGGCTACTCCTGCTCTTTTTTGCTTCTTGTTAGCATGGAATATCTTTCCATCCTTTCAATTTCAGTCTGCATGTATCTTTGTTGTTGAGGTATATTTCTTGTAGGCAGCAACAAGATGGAGCTTGTTTTTAATTCATTCAGTTAATCTGTATTTTTTAATTGGAGAATTTAGGCCATTTACATTCAAGGTTATTATTAAGAAGTAGCAACTTTGCCCTACCATTTTTCCATAAATCTTCTTATTGATTGCTTTGGATTTCCTTTGTAGTTTTACTAGGAGATGATTTGCCCTCACATATTTTCATAATGATGTCTTTCTTTCTGTGTTTCGCTGTGTAGCACATCTTCAAGCATCATTTGTAAGGCTGGATGAATGATGGCATTCTTTCAATTTCTGTTTTTGATGGAAGATGTTTATTTCACCTTCATTCATAAAGAGAGCTTTGTAGGAGACAGTGTTTTGGCTTGGATTGGACTGTCTGTCCGTTTTCTCCTAGCCTATAGGGAAACTACTTTTCTACACAGATAGAAGTATGATTGGTAGGAAAAAATGTATTATCTGAGTAATAAGCTGACAGAAACTTAGCAAGAACTCATTGTTTGGGTTATTTTCTGTCTCTGTTTTCAGAGCTAAAGACATTCTTGTCCTCTGGGTATAGGGTGGACACCTCTGGAATAAAGGTTTTATGCCCTATCTTCGAGGAAGATGGGAAAACCCTATTAGAGCCCTGTTATGGTTTACTTCAGGGGAAATGGATTAAGGGAAGGTCTGTTTTAGAGTAGCAAATCCTGAACCCCATTAACACTTTTCAACTATTACAGATGATGCTGTAAATATTCCTGTGCAACTTTTTGAGTGGACCTGTGTTTTCATTTGTCTTGGAAGATACCTAGCTAGCAGTTGAATTCTTAGTTTAAGGAGCTTCCAGACTGTTTTCCAAAATGGTTGTTCTGTGCGAGGTCTTTAAAAAGTTCATGGAAAATGCATACTTATATTATGAGAAAATGATGCATGGATTTAAAAATTTTTTTGCACTAAAATAAATATCTTTTATTTCCATTTCCCATGGAGTTCTGAAATTCCTTCATATTTCACATTCTTATCAACAGTGTTTGAGGGTTTCAGTTTCTCCATGTAATCACCAGTACTTGTTGTCTGGTTTTCTAATTTTAGTCAAGCGTGCTGGGTGTGAAATGGTTTCTCATTGTGGGTTTGATTGGTGTTTCCATGATGACTAATGCATATTTTTATCATTGGCCTTTTTTATTTTCACTTAGAATTTGAATATACTTTAGGGAAAGCAAAGAGCTAGTATTTTGAGTTTCTATAAAAATAAAATAATTTTCTCTAAAATTAAGATCACTTTCTTCATGATGACATTTTATACAGACAGAAAATGGTGATTTATATACTGGTAAATATAAACATACGATAGTGCAGGGGTTATAAAAAGAATAGTTCTTAGTTTGAAGTTTATTTTAGTGTATTTCCTTCTTGGAAGAAACCATTATAAGGCACTTAGTTAAATATGTGCATTCTATGAATTCTCAGAATTTTCTAGTTGCTGGTGTTGTGTAGAGTGTAATGTTGTCACCTGCAATGCTGGCATCCCTTTTGGGCACTGGTTCGTGTCCTTGCTGTTCCACCTGTGATCCAGCTCCCTGCTAATTGCCTGGGAAAAGCAACGAAGGAAGGCCCAGCTGTTTGGGCCTCTGCTACTCAAGTGGGAGACCTGGAAGAAGCTCCTCACTCCTGGCTTTGGCCTGGGCCAGCCTTGTCCATTATTGCCATCTGGTGAGTGAACCAACAGATAGAAAATTTCTCTTTGTCTCTCCCTGTCTCCCTCTCTGCCTGTAACTCTGACTTTCAAATAAATAAATCTTTAAATTTTCTAGACCATTATGGATATGATATCACTTGTTTGTTGCATTGTGGGAGATAGCTTGTAATTAATTATATGTGCTTTATATTTTCCCAAGTGTTTGCTCATACATTGTCTTTGTGTTTTTCTTTCTTTCTTTTTTTTTTTTGGACAGGCAGAGTGGAC